GCGTAGACGGCATCATAGCCTGTAACATCAGCAAGAGGACTTGAACAAACCATGTCATTTCACAAATAACATGTAAAATTTCATCTTTAAAAATGTATTCTTTGGTTTTTATATGTTTTTAAGTATTGATGGACTCTGTTGGTCATTCCTTGCATCAACAAACTAGTTAATTTCACTCGTAGTAAATTATTATTTTTCAAGACATTAGTGATATGTATTTTCTCTAGTGGTTGGTCTGGTGGTCTATGCATACAATTCCTCTACACATCTCCAAGTATTCGGTCGAACCCATTTTTACTGGTAAATCTAAATATCAAATATATCTGTATAAAAACTAGTTGTTACTCACGGGCAACTGTTTGACTCCATAAGTATTAATAAAATATTGATTGGTTAGCTTAAGCTGAAATAAACAAAACAGAATACAGTAATAAAAGAAAACCTCAATTTTAAGCTATAAGCCCCTGTTGCCGTTGTCCGGTCATAGAATGAGAACAGTGGCTTAGGGGGTAAAAATGGGATTTTCTCATTTTTGAACCCTAAAAAATTTAATTTTACAATATCTTTCTAATAATTTTGTAAAGCTTAAAAAAGAAATAATTTAGTATATTAAAGAGTAATTTTACGTTTAACGGTTATGAAGAAAATTAAAATAAGGAGTTGATAAAAAACTCTTTGTTTTTCGTATGGAAAATACATAAGAGTTTGCTTGGTTATGAACATATTTTGATCAAATTTGGAACATGTATTAATTTCATATTAAACTATTGACATAAAAAAACACCCTATTTCCTTTCCTGTAGCAGCAAACCAATGTACTAGTTAAGCTAATGTTATTTAAATAGGTAATAAATATGACATTTTAAGGAGATATTTTAGTAAAAATCTAATCAGGCAAATGGAAATTCTAGTAGTCCGCAGGTTTGCTGCGTTGGGTTTTTTATTCAAAGATTCAGAATCAATCATTTTGAAATTTTGTTTCTATTTTTTTGTCAATTTCAATATTTGATTTTTACTGTTTGGTTATATAACATGAGGATGAGTTATCGCTAGTGATTAGATCGTTGTATTTCGTGAAATGAAGGTTTTTAAGCGTTTCCCATCAACTAAGATAACCAACTTGATTCCTGTGCGGAGGATGGCTCCACAGCTAGTCTACTATTAAGGTTACTAATTATATATTGAGATTAAACTCTACAATTGAGATGTAATGGTGAATCTTAGTGTGAACTTTGATTAATGAGGATAATAGTTTACTGTGATTGTAATATAAATGGCTATATCTGTCATCAATAGGCGTAGAACTACGCAGTTATAAGGTCTTTTCGACGGCTTTTTACTTTTTATAATCAGCCTTCGTAGTTATTCGGTTTTTGAGCTGGACTGGTCAGAACTCAGAACACCAAGATTAATTTTAATTTGTTATTTCGATTAATTACTGATATTTATCTGTTTGTTAACACGTTTTAACACTGTTAATATTTTGCATTATATAAACCAGAAGATATACTTATACCTTTTTAATTATTCCTTTATAAATATATGAATACATGTTTATATTATGAAATCTAATGGGTAGGCCGATCCGTACCATCGACATATGTATGACACATTCACAAGCTATTATTTCAGAATAATCTTGAAACACTCTTTAGTTCTGAATTCAGATTTTTCCTGAATAATTCCAAAGAGTAAAGTCAGAGTTTTGCTCTTTGTTTATTTTTATTTTTTTACATAATCCTAAAGCCAGTTACAATTGAAATTAATATAATGTTATTTCTAATTTGCCGACTACAAATTCTTACAAGACAGCAATTCGTCAATCAAAATTAGGAAATTGTCCATTTCAAATCGTTTGTAATATTATTATGCGTTTTATAAAATACTAAAATTACGAAATTAAAAAACATTAAATATTTTCCATTCAACATATTTTACCAAAGGAACATTGTGTTATTTGCCATTCTTCTCATGATTATTTTAATTATTTTAAAAGTACAAATTATTTTTAACGCATTTTTTTATCTTAAAGTTACTTCTTTTCCTCCTTTTAATTGTAGAAGTGGTTGAACGAAAACGTGTTTATTCTCTACAGTAAAATACTTGGTGAGCAATAACAACCTTAGTTTATTTACTTTTAGCAATCTATTCTGTTTTTATTCAGAAATGAAGAAGCCAAGTAGTAGTAATCAGAAATAACAATTGGCAAACTAAAACTAAAGTTTTTGCTGAATTAAGATAAAATTTGACACTAGAGACCGATAAAATATAAAAACACACATGCCTTAAGAGGTAACTATATTTTAAAAAATTCAATAAGCATTACAAATAGTTTTTAAAAATTTCTTAAAACTATAAATTACCGAATTGGGAGGCCTGGGCTATGGCCAGGAAGGCTAGTGCGACTACAGCTTTCATCCTTGCTCGTTGTCTTCAGGGAGAACTAACAGCTTCTCCGAGTCTAGGGGAAGTTATATACTAACTCTATCAGCTGACCTAGTCAAAAACAAGACGTAACGACCCGCGCTCTAGGCTTTGTTTGGGTCAGAGAATCGCTCATTTGGCCTAATAGCTTTCCAATGGAAATTATGCCGAGATTTGCACATATGATTGAAATGTGGAACGATTTAGTTTAAATTTGTTTGCGTGTTTGGGTGTCTTGCTAGTATTTCAAATCTTGGATTCTGGTAAAAGAGGTACTTTAACCCTTGGGATTATCACCAAACAAATGCAAATATTTGTTTTGAGATGTCAGAATTACTTCTGATTTAAATAATAACAGGTAATAAGTATTATGAGTACTCAGGTATGCAGCTACAGAGAAGGAAATTAATGAGTGTTTCGTGTGTGTTTTGCATATACAATGTTAGTAGGTTAGTACAAAATAAATAGATTTACCAAATGTAGAACTCTTGAATTAAAAATCTCAAATTACAAGAATATCTAACCATAAAATTAACTGTGAAAAGAGCCAATTACAATAAGTTCACTAAAACAATTAACAAACAACCTGATGCACAGTGTTTTAAAAGTCATTCGCTGAATACAGCCTACAGAACGTTTTATTAAGCCTTTACTGCGCTTCTTATTGTTTTTAATTGAATAACACTGTTAAATGTGCCAATGAACTTTAGTTTTTTTTTTTTATAATAAGGTTTCTTTCATAAAGTTTTAAAGCTTTTTTTTCATCCCATCGTCACTGATGGTATGATTTACAATATGAAGCAGTAATAAAAAATCAATATGTTTATATCACTAGGCGGATATTAAATACTATAATGTTATTTCTAGTGATTAGTCTATATGTGGTTGTGATATAATTGAAATACATTACTTAATATTTAAATACATAGTAAAATATGCAAGTAAAGTGCACGGAAATACGAACAATTTTGTCCATTTCTCTTACAGAAGCAATATTATTAATTGCATAATGACAATAGTCCAAGCTCAGCTGATCTTATTACTTGATAATGACCTGGAGTTAGACATCATTATTCAACGTCGCTAGCATGAATTAATTTTCCCATCATGACGATAAGGGTATTCGACTTATCTACCAACAATACAGAATCTTTAACAAGAACAATTATGTTATTTGAAAAAATATATTATCGCCCACCTAAGCATTGCAGGTCTAATGGTACAAAGTAAAGCACAAGACTTCTGTCCCAGAGTACCGAGTTAGAATCCGGACAATTGCCATTGGTATTCCATTTGTGACCTGGTTATAAGTGCCCCACCCCTTAGGCTATAGTGCTATCTATCCAGACCCCCAAAATATTCAGACCTGTTAGGTGAGGAAATATTTAGCTGGTGAAGAACTCCCTACTGTAGTAAAAAACCATTCGATTATCTGCTCCTTCCTAAAAATCCAAGATAAATTAACCACTTCACAAGTCAATAGTACACTTCACACCGCTATCGGTGGATTAGTTACATCTTTGTAGAATTACTCTAAGTGAAGGGCTTACTTCCACCTTCAGTTAAGTTGATAAACTTGGAAGCTCAAGAACGGATCTGGTTGCAAAATTTAAACGAGATTAGAGAGCGGCGCGCAAAACGTCATCTCGGATGAGGCTAACATGCGCCACCATCTTGAAACTGTAAGCAGCTCGCTCCTTAACTGTCTCGAATAATCTTGTACTTCTGGCGCGAAGATATAACGTGCTTTTGGAGGGATGAAATAACGTCTCAGAACCCTCTTACGTGCTTAGAATGGTGCTTAGAACGGGAGATTATACAGTATATTAAAGTGCTTATACGATGTGCGTCATTCTTCTATATGTAGCTGAATGATTTTTTTAAGAATTATTAAACACTACATATAAAATTTAATATCATATTATAACTAAAGTTTATTAAACGTTAAATAATTAAACCAATTTAATAAACATTACTAAGAGAAAAATGTATGTACCTAACTGATACTGTAGCAGCTAACTATATAAAATATAAAACAAATAATAAAAAAGTACAATTGAGTGGTTTTAAAACACATTTTATAATTGTGTGTTTTTCATATATCTTCAGTATTATATTACAAGCCAATACACTGTATTATATCAATTTAAAACTTTTATGTAAAACACCAAAATACAAAGTAAATTTTCTCAATAGAGATCAATACAATATAATGTACGCGATCTCTATCGGGTAGGGTTGTAAAGAACACAATGTCAAATATTTCTCTTCAGTTGGAACAAGGGTGTTGTAAAACCAGTATCGACTAGTACGCCAGTTAAGCTATAAAGTATTACTTTACTCTGTTCAACATCCAAGCTATATGTCAACATCCACGGTCTATATCCCAAGCTAGATTCAGACTCCATAATTTACCTTTCTTAAAGAAACTTTAACTTCGTGAGCACCTAACTCCTCATAGTATATTTTAATGGTATTTCTTATGCAGAAACTTGGATGACTTTTCAAATACAATATACAGTACATGGTAAAGATTATTATTCTTATAATCTAATACATGGATTTTTTTGTTTCAGAATCTGAAGGACCAGATCTTAACGACAAACGTCTGGCTTGAACATGTAAGTTGTTTCAATTATATTTCGTGTGTGCTTCGTATTGAATGACATCAAGTTGTGAGAATCGTATTGAGTGATTTTTTTACACCCAATTTCAAGATTTCTCCTTACGCTTTCTACAAGTAGTGTAGTACAGTTTGAGTAAAATATACAGTAAATCTAATGCAAATTATAATGAAGAATCAGTAGCGTTAATTTAATACGTAAAAATGATAAGAAAATTCACACGAACGCCTAATCAAAGCCCTTCAAATCAATGGATGTTTTTACAAACGTATGTACAAAACCGGAAGTAAAAACCTTACACAATTTAGCCCACCTTGGCAAACGTTAGCAATGTCTAGAGACGCGTTCCTATAATTGAGCCAAGCTCTTATACGTCGACTCTTATGCATTTCGTAATACGCAAACTCCTCCTAATCGTTTTCAAATTTTGCATGGTGATAAACACCATATCGGTGAGTGCCAACATCTATATGACGTCAAACAAATCTCTTAGGAATCCGCCCCACGGGCCTTCAAAGTTTCAATGTAATCCTTATGGAAGCAGTATTTGACACATAAACAAAGGCATAAGGAGCTGGTGAATTTTGAATGAAGTAGATCAAGAAATAGCTGATAGCATTATTCCACGGATATTAGAACAGAAACGGTCAATAACAATGTATATGGAACCCTGATGACTCCGCTCAATTTTGTGGATGCCTCTGCGAACGCCACCTAGTCATAGAATAATGAAAAATCATACGGATAAGCTTATGCACATTGCACAGTACACCTGAGTACAACTATTGTAGTGACAGGAATACATACAAAACATTGTATTAGACCCAGTCAACACGCCTCAACCTAACCACCTAGGACAACCTAAGATATTTGTTCAGCCAGCACATAGTCCATATAAAGCAATTACCATATGCATGCATCGCCATGTTCTAATAACAAAAGTTGTTAAAACTTCTATTCATCTATCTATCTATATACTTAGTACAACAAGGGTTTTCCCTGTAACATCCCTTTTCCAGGATTTCTTCTAAACCGATTTTACAGATTTAAGTTTCATTTAAATGCTTATAGTCTAGCGCAACTTCGGTAGGTAATTTCCTTTAGGACTTCGCCCCCCCCCTCACGTTTAATTAATTTCAAGAATCCAATGTCAAAGATCCAGTTATTCTGACCAACTTTTATTTATAAGGGTTTAAAAGTGAATTGTGATTTGACAGTTATTTCTTCAGTTGAATGTTTAACCACAGTCAGATTGTATACAAGAGACTGAACAGTTTATGAAAATATATTTGAAATAGGCTACTTTTTTGACAACTGTGACCTGATTGAGTTGGTAGATCATTATTTATAGTGTAGGCCTGTATCTAAAATCAACAAAGTTATTGTAAATTAGTTGCTATATTTACCCAATTACTTACTGCTCCGAACAAAACAAATCGTATAAGGTAGATGGATATTACACTCCATATCTTATATATTAAAAAAACTTTTCCTAAACTTATGACAGCTAGCCCATACTACTGGACCGAATTACACTCGGTTTGTACCAAAAGAAAGGTTATCGGTCCTATATGTGCAGGCTTTAATTGTATTTTGAAAATATTTATGTTAATTGGGTCAAAGATGGAAATTAAACTTTTCTTAGGGAGATTTAACATGGGGCCAAATTCTTCAGATTACGATAGCCTGACCAACTAATGGACCGATTTAAACGCGGGTTGTACAAAAAGAAAGGTTATTGTTGGTCATATATGTGCAGGTTTGTGTATATTTTGAGATATCTTATGTAAGAAGTTTCACAGACATTTCAACTTCTGTTCCAAGCTGATATCTCTGAACTTAACAAAAAGTCCTGAATGAGAATGTTAGTATTTAGTGCAGCGTCTTTTAACTGGTCAACGTTGTGGATGTATTACAGTAACATATCTTTGTGACATGTTAAATTGTAGCTTGCTCCAATTTGTTTCAACGCATCCGAAAAGTTCACCAGATGAACGACCCTGTCATGTGCGAAGACCAAGACTTAGTAATATACTTTGACCTTGGAAACCTACCAACTTTAACTTTAAGAGTTCTGAATGTGTGTTGTGGTTGACAGGAGTGGCAAGATCACAAGTTCCGGTGGGACCCGGCGGAGTACGGTGGAGTTACAGAGCTGTACGTACCTTCGGAACACATCTGGCTTCCGGACATCGTGCTGTACAACAAGTAAGCTCACCTCAGTGGCTCAGAATAAGAATCAGGAGTGTGAGAGAGAGAGGTAGAGTAGAAATATATAAATAAGTGTATGAATTCCAGTGAGGACTAAACAACCCTCATAGCAACCATCACTAACAACCATCACTACCGACAGCGCCTCAAAGCCCAACAACTTTATGCTGTTTTATACTTAAATCTCTGTAATGTTTGACGCCTATTCTGTACTCTATGTTCAAGAATAAAGTATTCTGATTCTGATTCTGATTCTGATTCTGATAGGCAGGCAACAATAATAGTTCTAATATAAAAATATTATTACTAACCTCTGTCATCCTCGTCTTTACGCAATGCATAATTAAACAGGTTTGGTAGTCACTGAACATATATTAAAGTCTTGTTAAAGTAAATATTTTTCATGCATATCGTCATTAAAAAGCATAAACTATCTCCGTTGGTATTCGCCTAGCGGACGGTATACTCTCCATGCTCACTTTACATGTTCATGTTTTTACTGCGTAAGTGTACAGTTAAAGTTAACAAACGAATATTAGTGTAGATAGGTTATCAAAATTACTTACTCTCATCACACATGATGGTGGAGTTTTATACTCTTAAAACTGTGGTTGTTATGTGGATATTGTAGAGAATATATGGGTTAACTGTATTATAATGTATTCAGAACCACCTTTAAAGGTAACATAATTATGAAAAAAGGAACAGTCATAGATAGGAGAATAGATAGGAATAGTAGAAATAAGAATATGTATCGGGTTGTAAAAATAAAATAATAATACAGTGTGTATCTGTGTGGCTCTCCCCATAAAAATTCATGGGATTCATGGGAAAAATTCATGGTATCGATGCAAACTAAACCAATTCATGAAAGGTCATCTAAGTTATTATTATTTTAAATGAATCAATACTGCCATAAATGTATTAAAATAGCTTATTCCCTATATGGGAAATTCGCTAATAGGAGACAGGGTTGGTGTGAGTTCCAAGAATAAGAATCAGGATGGAGATGCAGCACATTAATGAAGTACGTGTAATTGAAAAAGATTTCTCACAGTCCATATAAATCGCAATTGTTACAGTATTGTATGTAACAACAGCTTACTTGCTGATGTAACGGTAGAAGAAAAATGGATTCTTTTTCTTAAGTATTTATCATCTCTGAGTTATAGTGAATTGGTAGTTTTACTCTATCCAACTCCTTAGATACGATAATCTGGACAAGCATAGAGATTAAGTTAGTAGGCTAACTGTTACAGGACAATATTTTAAACTTTAAATAATGCCAAAACCAATCCTAATCAGATTCGTTTTTGTTGAATTCATCTATACAAAACTAATTTTCTAAACTTTTCACGATAAAACTAAGGTCACATTTTTCAAGTAGATGGTATAGACTAATAAAATGGAATTTAATAGATGGTATAATCTTGTATTCGAATACAGCCTTACATAAAACACTGTTCTCGACGGAGCAACTCCTCGGAATTATCTTGGAAAAGAAAGTAACAAGATCAATATCAATATACCACCGGCTCTATACTTCACAAGAACTAAAAAGCCGTATATTTTCTCAACTTGGGAAGGAAGTGGAAGTGATGTGCTGATGCCGCACGTGACTCACTTCCGGTATGAGGCAACTTCCGGATGCTTTGCTTCTTACCCCGCTCTGATAATCAATTAATATTGAGCTCAATCTCCTGGAACAACCCTAGTGGATAGGGTTGAGCTAAAATCAAAGGTGGAGGTTAGTGAAATAGTGTGTGAAAATTTTGTAATGCCATTACTTAGCCTATATTGAGTTTTATTTTTATGGTATCTTTGGCGATGAAACGTTTGTTCTATTGTAGGCTACTCATTTATAGTTTGTAGTTTTCAGTTGATAATTTTATCATGGTCATTGAAATTATATTATTACAATTAATGGCTTAATTGAGCAACTGTTAGTGGATTTTTCGATGTATCAACAATAAAATGTAGACCAGCCTTACATAAATTGAAGGTGCATTGTTAATTCGTTATATAATAATCTCGAAGATTATTATATAATTTTTTTATACACTTAATGTATATTCTGTATTTGTTTAAATCATGTCCTTAACATCTTGGCACCTTGCATTGACCACAAAACCTAATCCTATGATCAACCCATTTTTTTACCAAACCATAAATTTTCCTCATGACCTTGTTTCACTACTCGTTTCAAACTCTTTTCACTCACGTTGATCCAACCACGTGTTTAGTTTATCGTTCGAAACTTTTGTTTCACTTTTTGTTCCGAATCTATTTCACGCCCGATGGCTTATTCTTGTAATCGCAGTTATTTTTTTGCTAACGTGTATCAGTGACTATTATAGGCAATCCCTGTACTTACCTCTTTTTAATCCTCTGGGACTACTCTTCCTATAAACTCGAGTTTCACCTGCCTGTGTTCTCCAGTTTACAAGGCTGGATTCCACACTTGATAGTTTAAAGCCGTGTTCAATCTCATTCTTCTGAGGCTTTCCTCCCATCTTTCGCTGTTAACTACAAGAAAGGACCATGTGGTCTTAGTGTTCGCATCAATAAGACAGTATCCTAATTTCATCTCCAAACACTCATTTAGTCTTTAGTTTTAAGTCTCTGACACACCTATTGTTTCTAAACACACATTTTTTCTCTTGTTCCAGACATAACTCAGTTCTGTATGTTTCAGTGCGGACGGCGAGTACGTAGTGACGACGATGACCAAAGCAGTTCTCCATCACACAGGCAAGGTGCTATGGACGCCACCCGCCATCTTCAAGTCTTCCTGTGAGATAGACGTACGATATTTCCCCTTCGATCAGCAAACCTGCTTCATGAAGTTCGGCTCATGGAGCTACGACGGTGACCAGGTGGGTTTGAGAGGGAGATTTGCAAGTGAAAGTGGCCCGTCCCTGTTAATCGACTCTGTGTCAACAACCCTACAAACGATGACGAAGTTAAACTCATCCACTTTCCCCTAGGAATTCACCCAATGACATATAGATAACTGTTGTTTGAGATATTTAGCATGTATAGCAAATTGAGATTTCTTATATTTCAAACAATTTACACACTCCAATATAGCATGTAGAGTGTAGGTAATTCCAAAACTACTGTAACAAAATATATGAAATAAAATAGGTTTTTCTTTATACAGTCATAGTAAAACTTTATAACAGCTACCTTAAACAAAAATATTACCAAACAGACATAAATGTACAGGTGTATCCACTTTTACATCCTTTCGTATATTACCGGAGAGCTAGTTTGTGTGTTTTCGATCATTTCGCCAATATGATAACACTCTAAAACTATCGAAAGCAAAATATCACAAGGATTACATTGATACTTTAACACTAAAATGAATTACGCATCTTCTTATTATATTAAAAGATTTAGATTGGAAAAAATCTAAAAAATGCATTAAATATAGAGTGAACTTTTGTATCCATCCTCTTTCCTTGCCATACAATCCATGTTTTAGTCGGGTGTTTATGTATCATGGTAAATTTTCGCCACACTACTCTGTTTTAACGGGCTTTCCACGCAAGGATTTAGTCGGGAAACAACTGTTTGTCACCTGCTTAACCGAATGGGATTTCATTACGTACTACTAATAATAAATGTAATAAAATGCAATGTAATAATTGTTTTGCTACTTTACGCTGTTTTAATGGAATTTCCACACCAGGATTTAGTCTGGGAATCAGCTGTTTGCCCCCTATTTCCCGGACTAGTAACGTAGGCTGACACCCGATTGCGCCGATGGTCCAAGATATGTAAAAGGGTCCTAATCCCTCGACCACCATTTACTACCCGACTGCCCCGAAGGTCAAAATCTGCCTCCCCATGCGCTTCCCCTTTCAAAGATAATATACCGTTTCCGGACACCAGCTGATTACGATTAGCCTAGTGAACTAAACACCTAAACTAAAAACACCTTTCGTATTTTATAAACATAAAGTAGTCATAAGTCCAGGCTTAGAACAATTTAAAAGTCATATCGAATGAACTTTATTTTACAAAGAAATGTCTTTATAATTTCGTCATCATTCTTAACCTACGAAAAAAAATTATATTGTACAGTAAATAATACGCACCTGTTCCCATGAATCTGATTGAAGTTACTAATCATGTGTATACAATTTTCCTCACTTATAATTTGTTTATGTTTCACACTAAACCTAATTCTGAAGATAAAATTACAAACAACATTTTGTAATAAGTAGTCTAATATTCTAGTGGCAGCAATAGATTACAAACTAAAACATAAACTTACAGAGAGGTTATGAGTAGTGATTGTAAATAATTAAATATGTAGGAACATATTACCTATTTGACAGTTTTGTATTGTTAAAAAATTATACGTCCAAAATCTGCACCTATTTTACGGGCTAGTAATGTAATAGTATATTTCGTACCTAGGGCCGAAAATGGGGTTTTGCCGGCTCGAGATAGTTTTTAAGTTCGAGACGAAGTCGAGAACTTAAATCGATCGAGAGCTGCAAAACCATTTCGGTCCGTGGTACGAACGCTATTTTTCACCACACTATACCCCCCTATTACCACTATTCACCACTATAATAATGCACACTGATAGTCAACACAACTACAACTTTCAGGTTATGTGAAGAAATAATTTGAGGAATCAGCAAAAATAAAAATAAATAGTTGCTAGGCAACGGTGACAATAGCACAATTCTAATTACAATGCTATGGATTTTGATTGTGTATTTAAAATGCATTCATGTTTTAAGTAAGTAAGCGGACAGCTGATTTTGCGGCCCCGGCCTGTAAAAACCTGCTCGGTCCCCAAATTACGATGACAGCTTACATGGCCAGCAAAACGTAACTTTCAGCCACAAATTAACGTATGTAATGCAGCCAAAAACATCATGGTGTGGTGAAAAATACTATTACTTAATATTATGTACATCCATGACAGTTATTATTCAGAATACTACCAAACCGTGTTTTACTAAACTGTTAGGCTATGGCCATTTTATTCAATTATGTTTCATAAAAATGAAGAGTAAAAAGAATACCTGTATATTGAGCAATTGATATACTGCACATAGTTATAAAACATTAATTAGTCAATAAAACACAGCAGTTATATTAGATAGTCTTTGATAGCTAGTTATTTCTCAAGAGTACATTGCTTATAAATTCTTATAAAAAAACCTTCCACGACTATCTTAATAAACTCTACCAACTAATTACATGTAAAGCTTTTTTATCAGGCATAACTTTTGACAAACAAAACTACTACTATTACGTCAAACATTCACCGTTTCAAAAGGGTGAAATTGTAAGGACAAGTAATGGTGACAAACTTGATCCATTTGTCAAAACTAGACAAGGCAAGTTACGTGGATCGTACAATGGGACTGTGAGGTCAGAGATTGTCAAGAGTCCGGCAACAGTTGAAGGGTCTGTAATCTACATCGACCCAGAGTCGCCAAGTTGTGCTCAACTTCTGATCTGAGAGTTTGGTTGTTGGCGAACGTCAAGTTGAGTTGTAGCACCGGCAAACACTGACAATTTCACATTTTCCTGGTAGAAGACTCAAGTGATGTTTCCTCTTTTTACCAGAAAAAAAATATTGTTCACATCTCTAATGAATATGATAAAAGTCAATTGTACACCGGAATAAAAGATTATGCTGTAATGATATAATTAAATAAATAAGTTAGTGTATGTCTAGGCACAATTTTAAGCTGAGTTGTATGTTTTTAGAAATAACACATTTTCCCTCCTCTTTTTGAGTTCTACGTTAATATTTTTCCAAACAAATTACCTACACTAAAATGTTATCTAAATATTTAACCTATTTAACAAAATAAACATAACACTTTCTTTGCTATTGCTTGAAAAGAAACACTTAAAGAACACTAGGCCCTACGGTGTTTGAGACCAATCTAATATGTGATAGTGTGATTGCAATGAATCTAAAACAAAGTGAGTTGGGCATGATTTGTTTGAAATATTGAACAGCTTATAAATATGTCAGAATCATCGATGGCCAAATAAAGGGCAGCCAAGTTCCGGAGTCGTGCAATACAACTGTTAAAGTTGTTTTAAATCAACTCCTTGAACAAGTCTACTTCCTTCAGCTTATAAACCATTGTGCTCGATAGTATTATCTAGTGTTTTATGTCTTATTCAAAACACAAACTGTCAAACTACCCTAGCATATTTATATTTTATCCAAGCTATCATGGTATCAAAGTATCATGGACAAACTATCCTTGTAACTTATTGTTAAAACACACCTTATATCCAATTATTCAGCAGATTCAATGACCTTGTGGCTATTTTACAATTACCATTTTGTAATGATTCTTTTAGAATATGTTGACTGTTATATTTCTAATTACCATGTAATCGCAATGAGAAACTTTATTTATTGCATCGACCAGTAATGCATGACTGACATTCTAGTTTGTGTATACTTTCCCCATTGTAACAATGCTCTATAATTTATCTATCTATACTATAATATGAGTAACGTTTCGCACAATGAAGTAGCTGTGGTAGTTTTACGAAGACATAAATGACTTGTTACATATGCTTGTTACAACTCATCTACAGTACAGTAGCAAATTACTGAAAGTAGTACAAAAAAGAATAAGACATTGCTATGGATGTGATTGAGCATTGATTTTACAATACACTTTGGTTGTATGATTATTACCACATTGGCCATAATGGTTCTATGGACTGTGGACCATAATGGTCTATAGTCTGTGTTATACTAAGAATTGGGGTAATTACGAATGTTCAAAAACGTAAAGTCTTTTACCGCAAAACTTTATACACTAATATTGAACTAAAAATCTTGAGGAAAAGCAAAAAATGTTTTGTTGTTTTCGACAACGCGACACCTGAATGGGTGTGCGTTCTTCCATAATTAGTTGCTAGCGACGTTCCGCTATCCCAGTGATTAAATCACAAAATTAATTACAAAACAAATGTTATATGTCATGAGTTTTTTTACTAAAGATTATTGTAGAAATGTTTGTATATAGATTGTTTGTCCATATTGAAGAGTGTGTTAGGTAAATTGATTTACCGTAAAGGTAAAACTAACAAGTTATATGTTTTAATAGGTTAATTAGAGTTTCATTCCAAATTAATATTTTTTCGAAACACATTTGTTTTATTTAGACTTATTCAAATGTGGTTTAGTATAAAAACTAATGGCTTGACACTCATGTAATAATAATATCACACATAGACTCTTAGAGCATAGTATAAAGGCCCTGATATTCTTGTCTTACAAACCCTTACATTTAGCCTTTGAAACTAAGTTATCTAGCCTAAAACCATATATTAGCGCATTCAGAGTGTTTATGTGCAGTTTTAAAATTTTTTTTGTTTACGTTTACACTACATTTTATACATTTCTAGGAGTAGGTTTATAAGTGGAATTCGTTGGTTTGGATAACATTTCCTGTAGGCCTAGCACAAAATTGTGTTTTAACAATGGTTTTTAACCACTTAATACGACAAGGTTGTTAACAAAATGCTGTATGCCTATACAGCACCAATAACTGAGCATGATAGGATGTTATTAAATGTATCATATATTTTATTCCATATCTTAGATTGTATTTTTTATACTATCATGGAAATCGTACATTTGTAGGCCTATATTAAATTTTTTACCTCTCAAAAAATTAAACACTTCAAATCAATGCTCTGGCTCGTGGTACTTCATGAACTATGAGCTCCAGCATTAAATGCATTAAACTACATTTTTTGCACTTTTACATGCATACTCGTGAGTGGGGAAAATCAAGTGTTTAATAAGAGCAAATAATATTAAAGAAAACAAGGTTTCTCCTAAAACAATTATTGATATTTG